ACGAGGCAGGACATGATAGCAATGTTCCAATATCTCAGGGGCTGCCACAAAGAAGAGGCAGTCAAGCTATTTTCCAAAGCGCCTGAAGGCAGGACAAAAAGCAATGGATGGAAACTAATCAAGGAGAGAAGCAACCTAGAACTAAGGAGGAACTTCCTGACAGTTAGAACAATTAACCAGTGGAACAACCTGCCTCCAGAAGTGGTGAATGCTTCAACACTGGAAGTTTTTAAGAACAGTCTGGACAGCCATTTGTCTGAAATGATATAGGGTTTCCTACCTGAGCAGGGGGTTGGACTAGATGACCTCCAAGGTCCCTTCCAACATTATGGATCATCGCACAGTCAGCCAGATGTTCAGACTGGATTTGGCATTTTGTCTACCTATCGAGTCCTTACCCAGGACCTGGGATAGGCAGATGTGGATATTTGATGGTATTACAGGTATGGTCGCAGGATGGAAGCAGTTCCTAACATGGCCACCTTTTGCAATTGACTAATAGCGAACTTGACAATGCCAATGGTGTTCAAATGGTGCTCCAGTTGTTTTGGGATTGCACCCAAGGAGCCTATCACTATTGGTACTACCCTTGCTTGCTTCTGCCACAGTCTTTCTATTTCTATTTGTAGGTCTTTGTAGTTTGTTATCTTCTCCAGTTCTTTCTCGTCTATTCTGCTGTCTCCAGGCACTGCCACGCCCACTATCCAGACTTTTTTGTCTTTCTTATCGACAATTGTTAAGTCTGGGGTGTTATGTTGCAGATGCTTGTCTGTTTGAATTCTGAAGTCCCAGAGCAGTTTAATTTTATCATTTTCTGTGACTTTCTCTATTTTATGATCCCACCAGTTTTTGCTTACAGGCAAATGATATTTTTTGCAGATCTTCCAATGCACCATTGTTGCTACTTTGTCATGCCGCTGCTTGTAGTCAGTTTGTGCAATCTTCTTGCAGCAGCTTATCAGGTGATCCACTGTTTCTTCAGCTTCTTTGCATAGGCGGCACTTACTGTCTTTTGCTGTCTTCTCAATTTTGACTTTATATGCATTTATCCTTAAGGCTTGGTCTTGTGCAGCCAGAATTAGTCCCTCGGTCTCTTTCTTCAATTTTCCTGCTCTTAGCCATTGCCAGGTCTTGTTATTGTCTGCTTTCCCAGCTATTTTTTTAATGTATTGGCCATGTAGTGCTTTGTTTTCCCATGCCTCTATTCTGTTCTTCATTTGGTCTTTCTTGTAGGCCAGTTTGGTCTCTCCAGTAGTCAGTAAGCCTTCCTGATATACTAATTTCAGTGCATCTTCATCATTGTTCTTCAGGTATTCTTCCAAAGCCATTTTTTCTTCTTCAACCATCTGATGTACTTGTAGCATTCCACGCCCACCTATTTGCCTTGGTAGATAAAGTCTGTCAATGTCACTGCGTGGATGAAGGGCATGATTCATTGTCATTATTTTTCTGGTCTGCCTATCCATTGCTTTTAGTTCTGCTTGAGTCCAGTCCACTATTCCAGCTGTGTACCTAATGACTGGGATTGCCCAGGTGTTGATTGCCTTTATGGTATTTCCTCCATTGAGTTTGGATTTTAAGATCTTCTTCACTCTCTTGATGTATTCACCTCTAATCTTTTTCTTGACTTCAGTGTGCTTGATGTTGTCAGCTTGAAGGATACCCAAGTATTTGTAGTAATCTTCCTCATCCAGACTCTTAATGTTATTTTCGTGGGGCATCTTGATTCCTTCAGTTTTCACTATTTTTCCTTGTTTGATAGTAAGTGTGGCACATTTGTCCAAGCCAAACTCCATTACAATATCTTGGCTATATATACGGACAGTGTTGAGCAGCGATTCTATTTCAGATGATGTTTTTCCATACAGTTTCAGATCATCCATGTAAAGGAGATGGGATAGTCTGGCAGATGTTTTTGATGTTTGATAGCCATGTCCTGAGTTATTCAGTATTGTTGACAGAGGAAACAGTGCAATGACAAATAGTAATGGTGATAATGAATCTCCTTGAAATATTCCTCTCTTGATATTAACCTCTCCCAGTCTCTCACCATTGATCTGCAACTGTGTCTTCCATTGTGCCATCGATCTTTGCACAAATTTTCTGATATTTCTACTGACTCCTGTTATTTCTAGGCACTTTATTATCCAATCATGTGGCAGAGAGTCAAATGCCTTTTTGTAGTCAATCCATGCCACATTCAGGTTGGTCTTCCTTCTCTTGCAGTTTTCCAAGATCATTTTGTCTATTAGGAGTTGATCTTTTGTTCCTCTGCTATTGGGGCGGTTTCCTTTCTGCTCAGGTGGAAAGAGATTGTTTTCAACTAGATGCTGTTGTACTGCATCAGCTACCACACCAGTTAGTAATTTGAAAGTTGTTGGTAAGCAGGTAATTGGCCTGTAGTTACCTGGTGTTGCCCCTTTTGCTGGATTTTTCATTATTAGGTAGGTTTTCCCAGTTGTTAGCCACTTTTCAATTTCTCCTCCTTGTAGTATATTGTTGAACTGCTTGGCAATGAGTGGGTGTATAACAGTTAGATGTTTCAACCAAAACCCATGCAGTTCATCTTCACCTGGTGCTGACCAATTTTTGATTTTCTTTGCTCTTTTTTCTACCATTTTTGTTGTTATTACTAGTTCTTTCATTTCAACTTCTGTTTTATTTGCATCCACCTCTTTTAAGCAAGCCGCATCCTTGTTGTATTTCTTTGGGTTATCCCATATCTGCTTCCAGAACTGCACTGTTTCTTCTTGTCAGGTACTGACTGATTCCTTGCAGTTTCTCCATTGATGGATTGGTAGAAACGTTTCTGATTGGATTGAAATTGGAGGTTCTGTCTATAGTTTGCAATTCGAGCTTCATATCTACTGATTTTCCTGACTATAGCTGTTATTTGTTGCTTTATTATTTCCAGTGCTTCCTTGATCTTCCTTGTTTCTAAGTGGTATTTCTTGATTAGGTATTCTTTGGTCTTCTTGTTCTTCAGCTTCTTTTCTTTCATCTGTTCTAGCTTGCTTGCATGTGATCTTAACTTGCTGATCTTATTTTCTAGTCTAACCTTCCATTTTTCTGGTGCACTGTTTGTTTGTTTTTCTTCTTTGTTGATTTTGCATCCCAAGTATTCAGTTATAACTGCAGCTACGCTGTACATTAGTTGGTTTGTTTCTTGCAGTGAATTGGTGCTTATATTTGCATCTTTTAATGCTTGTGCTAGCTGTTTCTTTGAAACAAGCTTCAATGCAGGCAGCCTTATTCTGCTGTTTTTGTGATGTTCTAGATGCTCAGTTATTCTTTGTTTCAATTCTTTTATTTCTTTAGTTAGAGGGTTTTGTTCTTCCTGAGAAAGAGGTGCCTGGTTTCCAAATGAGAACAGTTGTATATCTCTACTGGATTCTTTCACTGCCAACTCCCCCTGGTTTGCCTCTACATTCTGAATTACTTCTTGTAAGGCTTTGATTTCTTTGCCTGGGTAAACCTTTGCAGTTCGTCCAATTCTGTTTCTGTGAATACTTTATTTCGTGTTATAAATCGGCGTTGATCTGCTAGTCTCTGTTCTGTTATTTCTGATTCTGGATGCTGTTCTTTCCAGAATTGGTGCATTCGTTTTAGATATCCTCGTCTTGTTGGACTTGATCTGTAGTAACAGATCATTATTTCTTTGTTTTCCATCACTGTGTATCTGCGACGGGTAAACACCTTTTCTTCCAGTAGTTCTGCAGCTGCTGGCCCTGGTTGCTCAGCCAACAGTCCTGAGTCCTGTAACCCATTTTTCACCAGATATCCAGGAACTCCAATATCTAGCGCGGACCTTGTTAACCCGGGCGACATCCGAGCCGGTATTATTATTATTATTATTATTATTATTATTATTACCACCTCGGGTAGTGAAGTTGAAGCACTTGAAGAGGCAGGTACAGTAATAGCCCTCCCATACCATACCTCCTCTGTGCAAAGTCAATCCACAAATAAGTCATAGATGACTTTATTAAAAGCTGACCTGACATGAACTGATTTGACAAGCTCTCTTCCTTTCTCCCCTCCCATGAGCCATGGCAAATGTGCTAACAATTAATCTGTATACTCCAATTATTTCCATTTGCCAAGGATTCTCTTTGAAGATGCCTCTATTTTGCCTTTGGGCAGAATGCTAGGAGCACTTTTTAAAGCCTGTTGTCATGGCAAGATTACATGTCCTTCAAATGCCATTCAGCTTGCCAGATCTTCATAAATTAAATCTTAGATTAGGTGTAGTGCAGGATGCTTTTAGATTCCAGAGCTTTAAACTCATATAAGACTGAGATCATTTGATAGTGCCAGAATATTAAGTTCCAGAAAGGAAAATTGGAACATGTGGTACAGTATAGAAGAGGTAATGGACTGCTTTGCTGGGGGGAGGTGTGGCTGGTTGACTGTTTGCAATTCCCAGCAGGAGCAGACAAGAATATACTTGGGGAAGAGTACATATCAGCACATGGGTGGAGGCTCTGTTTGCCTTATATCAACAAAGGGGCTATATAAAAAGTATACATGGCAAAAGACTGGGGTAACATTTCTGCATATTTTATGATGCTTTTGAAAGACCACTTGAAACAGTGGGGTTTTTAAAATTATCTTCCATATGTCTAAGAAAATGCTTTTTAGTCATGCTGAAACTATTGCCTCTCATTCTGCAGAATCCTGAAATGGCTTATTCTACGGAAACCTGACTGTGGAAAGCAATTTTTTGAAGATTAAACACAGTGCATATTTCAAAGCTTAGAGTTAATAGTAATACTGGACATACGCATTGCACTTTGCAGTTATGCGTGGGAAATGCCAAAGGAGATTTAGTTCCTCAGTCCAGTAACTCAATCAGTGTAGTATAACTACATGGAGTTGCATGCAAAAAGAGTCAATCCTTTGCATATCTGAGTACAGTTAGGAAAAATTTTATGTCTAAAACGCTGGGAAATTATTGTTACTTACTTTTGACCAGCTTTCTCCAACTGTTTGCTCTCCAGGTATATTGGATCATAACTCCCATACTCCTCAGCCAGCATGCTTATTGGTCTTCAATCAAACTACATGCTTCAAGATGTCCAGTTTGGAGGGCAACCAGTTGGGGAAAGGGAGATGCAGGTGATACTGGTGGGCTTTTTCCTTATTGCATTTTGTGAACCCAGCCAGTGGGGTTTGTTCATCAGGGTTTACAGTTCAGAGTATCATGTGGACACAGTAAATAAATATATTTAAACCATTTTTTAAATATGCAACAACAATATTCTTTGTGAACCTAGGGAGTTAAAGGATCATGGTTTATCATGAGGGGGGGGGGAATTCTGAATTCCATGCTGAGCAAACCATCCTCATTTCTGTCATTTCATTTCTAACAAAAGTCTAATACTCTGAGTATAAAAAAATCCAGCTGATAATGACACCTGACAGAGGAACACACACTTGGTAATATTGGAGTGGTCACTTTGGAACAGCCCTTTGGAATGGCTATGTATTTTGAAATGTGCAGCATGAAAGAAGATGTAGAAATTGGAAGAAATTGTTTTAGTCTGTAAATGAAGGTTTTAAAAAGCAGCCTGAAGAGGAGAGACAACTGCCTCCTCAGATGAGCCATGGCTGCGTCCCAACATCCAGGCACCAATCTGTTCATGTTTCTGTTGCAAAACTACTTTACTCCGTGTGTTTTAATTAGACACCCCAGTTCGAGCGCAACCTGTCATTCTGAATGCCTGACAGGAAACCGAATACTTGAGCTTGTTGGTGCAAGTTCAGCCTATTTTAATCAAGTACCTATTATTCTTCAGCTGGGGAGAAAAACAGGCATAAATAGAAGCTTCTCAGCCATTAGACCACTATGCATAAATTGTCTAGGGCTGTGGAAGTGTGTGCTCTGCAAACAACACCCAATATGATGGAAATACCAACAGCCATTCCCGAATAGCTGTGCAAGTGTCCTCAATGCAGTTCATAGAACCATCTACAATGATAGTTCCAATGACAAAACTACTACAATGTCCTAATTACAACAATAAAAAATGGCCAGTTGGAATTATCAGCTTTGATTTGTTTTTGAGAAGATTTAAAAATTGCTTTATAAAAAAGGCGAAGAAGAGACAATTCTATTTGGATAAAATGCTTTGTCTCACAGGTGCTGGTTTGATTTTAAAGAAAATTAATTTCTAGAGCTGGTTTCTTTTGAGCACATGCCGAGAGGAGTTTCCTTTATTTTGCAAAACAATTCTCTGCAGAGAATAATTGAGCACATAATGGAATTGGATTCCTCCCAGCTTCTCAAGATTGATAGTGCCCTTGAGAAACTGGTTCAAGAGAACAGGTCTGGAAGAACACTTGAAGGCAGATGGAAGATTGAAGGTTACATTTAAAAAGGACCACTTGGGGAGGGGAGCAAGGGGGGTGAATTTAAAAAAAGTCAGGATGGCAGCTACGACTATATCACTGCAACATTTTTTCATATGTGTTGCACATGCTGCGTTTCAGTTGCATAGTCTTAGCCAACCATTGTGATCTTTTTTTACTTCCTGCTACAGATGCCTCTTCTCCAAAGTCTCTGAATTACTGTTTCATACGGTGATGCCTGGAAAAATAAATTATAAACATTTTTGTAATACCTGTGATTTGTCAATTTGTTAGGTTTATTATAATTACTTGTAACTGGTATTTGTCTTTTATTGGTAGGTTTACTGATAACTTTCCTGCTTGTTAATGTTGTTTAGTTTGTGCTTATTGCTTCTTTATTTCATTATATTGTACTGCTAGCTACTCTGGACACCATGTGGTAGAATGGCAGGACACAAATTTAATACAGATAAACACCTTTGAAGAATGATGCTCTTAATTCATTGTGATGTTCCAACACACACATGAGCTATCCACTATAGACCTGAGTTACAATTTTATGTGTTTTGATTTCTTTCATGGTGGGCAGGTCTATGTATGCATGTATAGTCAAAAAAATACAGAGCGGTCATAATATGTAGATGCTTTAGCCAGTTGGAAAGGTCATTGATTTTTTTTAATTCTTTATAAATTTTGATTATTTTGACACCAAACATGTTTATTCATAACAGTTGAATAACTTGATTTGACTGTCTGTGCAACTTGCTGGATAGAGTTGTTGATTTCTGAGCAAAGGAAGATTAAATTAAGGGCAAAATCCTGAGGTCTGTTTATTCTCCAAAAGTTAGCAGAGCAAAATATAACACTATAGATTAAGAAATTTTTCCTTTAGCTTAACATCTGTCAGTTTCAGCTTACAATAAGAGATGAGAAGCTGCAGAATTGCTTTACAGTGATTGAGTAAGGAGTCCTCTGTAATCTCATGAAAACTCTAGTCTCCTGAGAACTCCTGGATGGATTCAAAAATTGGATTATGTCATGCCTTTTCAGTCTTCAAACTATATTTTTAGAGAGAATATTAACTTTGTTTTGCCATTCTATTTGAATGAAAATGTTGGCCAACTGGTCACCGCCTTTGAAAAAATAGGAGCCAGGGAAGTCTGCAATTTGAATCTCCAATGTTCAAAATTTTAGGACCCATTTTGTAACTCAGGAGTCTCTGCCTAGTTTGGGAGAAAATGGCCAGCAGAAAAAAGAGACTCATCTTTTTTTTTTCTAGAAGTAAACAGGTTATTGGAGTAGGATTCAAATAAAAATTCTTAAAGTGAATATAGAAAGAAAACCAGAGACATTTCTCTTGGGGCTAATGGACAAAGACCTGGAAAAAAATATGGAACTTTGATGTTATATATGTTAACAGCAGCAAGATTACTCTATGTTCAGAAATGGAAGACTACATTGACTCCCACGATAGAGGAATGGTTACAAAAGCTGATGGAGCTAGCAGAGATGGCTAAACTGACTGTACTGATTAAAGAAAAGAATACAAACACTTTTACTGCCATGTGGAAACCGTTTCTAGACTTTGTGCTTGAGGTTGAAAAAAATGAAATTTTGATTTTGGGTTTTACCAATTAGATAAACTTGATGTAATCGAAATGGCTAGTTTATATTATTTTGTAAAAGTAAAAAGTTAAGGTTTGAAGTTGATATTCTACTTTGCTGCAGCAAAGGAAGTCGGAAATCAATGCCTTTCTTTCTTTCTTTCTTTCTTTCTTTCTTTCTTTCTTTCTTTCTTTCTTTCTTTTTTCTTCCTTATCTCACTTCTCTATTCCCTTTTCCCTTCCCCATCTTTTCCACTATTTATTTTTATATTTTCATTGTATCGTATACTATAAACTAATAACACTTTTAAATGAGAAAATAAACAGATGAGTTTGTTCCTCGCCATCTTTTGTAGTGACACGGTATCATCTTTTTGCCTTTATTTTTTTTGGTAGATGAGCACATTTATTTTCCAGAAATACTTATGGCCCTATGTGTAATCATTCAATATTCTTGGAAATAAAGATGAGTCTGGAAAATGCTGCTTTGTGTGCAGCATATCAACTTCCATTTTAATTCTGTTGCTATTGGGGAAGGTGATCTAATGGGCAGCAAAGGAGGTGCCTGTAGCTACAGTGAGGTCCTCTGATGCAGACTGGAGACCATTGGTTTAGGAAATCAAGAATACCTAGCAATAGCAATAACACTTAGATTTATATACTGCTTCACAGTGCTTTACAGCCCTCTCTAAGTGGTTTACAGAGTCAACATATTGTCCCCAACAATCTGGGTCCTCATTTTGCCGACCTCGGAAAGATGGAAAGCTGAGTCAACCTTGAGCCAGTGAGAACTGAACTGCTGAACTGCTAGCAGCTAGCAGTCAGCAGAATTAGCCTGCAGTACTGCATTCTAGCCACTGCGCCACCATGGCTCTTATGATTAGTATTTCATACACCCATATTTACATCAAACATGTTCATCCATTTGCTGTGGGAGATAGCATAGCAGATTGCTGTGAGTATCATTTGAACCAAGATATTTTAGTTTTGCCGTGTCACCTTGTGGGGCTTTTTTGTCATATAGCAGAAGGTTAACCATTCAATAAGTGCTGCTTAAAAAATTATCTCAGAATATCATGTAGAAGGAAGTAGTATTCATTACATGCAATTTAAAACCAAAAGACCAGTCTTACCCAAATAGCCTTTTAAGTTGTTATTTCCGTAAATGGAAGCGCAGCAAAGAAAGACTCAGCATATTACCATTTCAGGAAGTATATTACTTTTAATTCTTATACTGTTTAATGATCTTTGAGGTATAATGTTAAAGTATTCTAAGCATGCTCATAAATTTGAAGCTAGAGAACAGAATGGAACGGAACAGAGTAGAGAAGAGTAGAGTAGAGTAGGGTAGGGTAGGGCAGGGCAGGGCAGGGCAGGGCAGGGCAGGGCAGGGCAGGGCAGGGCAGGGCAGGGCAGAATAGAATAGAATAGAATAGAATAGAATAGAATAGAATAGAATAGAATAGAATAGAATAGAATAGAATAGAATAGAATATAACAGAATGGAATATTCTTTATTGGCCAAGTATGAAAGGCCCTACACAAGGAATTTGGTGCATAAGCTCTCAGTATACATAGAAGCAACAAAGTGATAAATCATAAAATACTAACAGGAGTAAGTAATAGGAAAGATGAGAAGGATAATAGTAATAGAGTCCTACTACATGGTTAGATCCTTAGACATACTACCCAGAGATCAGGATTTGACAGAACCCTTACCTATTTTGTTTTGGATTTTATGATAAAGCCAGGGCTTTTTTTCTCATAGAACACCCAGAACGGAGTTCCGCCACCTTTTTTGTATGGAACTTTGTAGGGTAGGCAAGGCGGGTTGTATGACGTGTGGGAGTTCCAGCACCTTTTTTTTTTTTTTTTTTGAAAAAAAGCACTGGATAAAGCAATGTATGAATCTAACCATTGTACCTTGTAAACAATGGAACACAGTGCAGCATGAACCCAACCAATTTGTTGTTTCTTCAAAAAATTGAACAGTTAATAGGGGCTTAGTGCAATGTATGAATTTAGCTATAGAGTTTGAGTAAGAGTTCCCTTTCAGACCTGAGAAAATATGTGCTTGTTTTATACCAGATAAACTAGTAAACAATGCAAATAGGTGCCACTTCTATGTATTACAAATTTCCCTTTCCTCAGTTTTTCTATTAGGTTTATTAATTACAACAATCTCTCAGACAAACAATTTCAATTTACATGTACTAAGTGTAAAGATTTCCCAACTTTCCCTTCCTACAGGGAGTTAGGGTGAGTTGCTATAGCAACAGAAGTATCACTTGAACAGTTGAATACCCTGTAAGAACTTCTGTCAGAATAGCATCATTGAACAGATGTCTAATATCTCAATCTGAAGATGGGGGCTCATGCAGCAATCTTTCCAGCCCTGAGGACACCCAAGATAGGTCATTAATTCATCCACTGTTAGCAAATGCTCAAATACAAGATTAGGAAAAGCCCTACGATCTATTTTAGTTCTGGGTCTTATTAAAAAGAAGTGGGGGAGAACTCTCCACTGCCCAGAGGAAAAGAATTGGGGTCAACCGAGAAATAGCACTTCTAAATATAAGATGAATGAAAGGAAATATTCTGAAATCAATATAAAGAGCATTGCAATTGCGTTAATGCTTAATTTTAATGGATCAAAATTAAGGAGCATTAGCCCTTCTAGAAATTCAGTATTGATTAACATTTTTAAATGGATAAAGTTATTTTTAAGATAGTCCTACATAGAAACAACCATCTTACTGTTTATATATATAGGATTTCTTATAGGATGTGTTCCCTTTATTTTTTTTTTTAGCAGTATATACTTAATTCTTTAACTCTTTGTCAGCAAAAAGAAATACATACGGGTTAGTCCTCCCGGGGGTTTCTAAGGAGGTGGAGAAGATGCCTAATGTGTGGGAATTAAATCCCTAGCCCTGGCAGGTGTTTCTTGGCGTAGTGATCGCGTTTCTATTGCGGTGCTCTGGGGGGTCTCAGGCCGTCAGCTGTCATTTGACTGGATATTAGTCTTTTCCGGCAACAGAGTGAAGTTGTCTTTACTGGGCTGCCGGTAATGGAGTAAATGGGTGCGGGCTTCCAATGCTCTTAATGTTAGGTGTGCAGGGCGCAAGTCTATATGCCGATTAATCGACTCCTCTTGTGAAAGCCATGCTTCTTTAAGCAACCTGCCACTCTTTGTAACGTCACTAGCAACCACAGTCACACCCTCAAAATCGAATTTGTGCCCAAAGTCCATCATATGCGTAAGGATCTGGGAGTACTGTTCTCCTCTTCTTATGGCCAACTTGTGCTCCTGGACCCTTGTTTTTACCCTCTTAGAGGCCTCACCCACGTAGTTAGAGGTGCAGTCCTTACAGCTGATTTTGTAAACAACCCCTGATTTCTCTGCCGTGGAGAGTGGGTCTTTTGGCCTCATAATACATGAACGTAGCGTGCGGCCAGGTTTATGTGCCACCCTCATGTTATGGGGTGCTAGTATTCTGGCCGTAGCCTCTGAGACACCGCTGACATAAGGGAGGGTGACACGTGTCAACAGGGATGGTGCCCCCATCTGCTGAACATGAGGGGGTTTATAGAGTACACCATGTCTCTTGATGAACCTGGCTGGGTACCCATTGAGCCGGCAGATGTGAAAGAGATATTTCTTCTCTTCCACTTTGGCTCTGGCCGTATTGCAGTGGGAGTCGATCCTCTTAAAAAGAGTTCTAATGCAGCTGACTTTGTGGGCCACTGGGTGATTACTATGATAATGCAGGATCCTATCAGTGTGTGAGGGGTTTGCAGTAAACTTTGATGCCCAGGGTGCCATCAGGCCGACGATGAATTAAAACGTCTAGGAAGGCCAATTTACCCTGGCGTTCTTCCTCCGCAGTGAATTGTATGTCCACACACACTGAATTAAGTGTGCCCACAAAGTCAGCCATCCGGCTCCTCTTAATGACGATGAAAGTGTCGTCAACGTAGCGGGCCCAGAACGTGGGACGATACTGGGTCATTGCTACATACTCTAACTGCTGCAAAACGGCCTCGGCTATAACGCTTGAAATTGAGGATCCCATGGGGGTACCTTTTATTTGCTCATATGTGGTACCCTGAAATGTGAAGTAGGTTTTTAGGCACAAGCTCAGAAGGTCCACAAGATCTTCAGGGTGGAGGGAATCCTGGTACTGGCCCAATCCCTTATGGTGGAGGAGATCCTTAACAGTCTTGACAGCCAGGTCTTGTGGGATAGAAGTGAAGAGAGAGATGACATCAAAAGATACCATCACTTCACCATGCTCTATCCTCAGAGTCCTGATCCTGTCAAGAAAGTCCTCGGCTGATCTAATGGTGGTGAGGCTGTCATCGACCAAGTGGCTAATGCGATGATTAAGCCACTTAGATAAGCCAGAGATCGAGGTGCTCCTAAAGGAAACAATGGGACGAAGGGGGATACCCTCCTTATGGACCTTAGGCAGCCCGTAAAACCTCGCCATAGCAGTGTCAGTGAGGCATATCCCCATGAGGGTACGATCATCAATCCTCTTACCATGTTTCAGGGCATTGAGCACTTTGTTGACCCGATTCTTAAGGGCCACCATGGGGTCCCCACTTACAACCTTATAAGCCGTGGTGTCTCCGAGTTACTCCAAAGCCTTGCTAACATAGTGCACCCTATCCATGACCACAGTGGCCCTCCCCTTGTCAGCTGGTAGCATGAGGATAGTATCATCCTCCTTAAGTTGGGCCACAGCTTTCAACTCATCTTTGGACAGAGCCTGATGATACCTATGGCTCATGAGGAGTCCCGTTACCTGCTACCTGATGGTATCTTTGGTGTCCTCCCCCGCTTCGATGCGGTGCAGGGCAGGTTCCAATGCCACCACGAAGTCCAAGGCGTGGGCATCCATCAGGTTGCACCCTGCATTGCGTTGTAACAAGGTAGATTGGGCCTGAGTCAATACTCTGCTGGAGAGGTTGTGAACCAGCTTGTCCAGTGGGTTGCCTTTGTTAGAATTGCGTAAGCCCTCAATTCTATTTCGGAATTTGGTCGTAGTTCGTTGACTCACATTCTTAGTGGCCCAGCAAATATGCTGGTTTAACTGCAAGAAGTGCTGATGCGTAAACTCCACCCGGCATCTTTCGCGGTAATTACGAATGCATCCCATCAAGCCATTATTGTGCCTATGCAGTTCATTGATGATTGCACGCATAGTTCTATGTTGGAACTGGCGAATTGCACGGCGACACTCTAACGAGTCAATCGTGGGTTTCCTCCTTAGCGACTGGGGGGGGGGAGGTCTTCCTTGATACAGGTGTGCAGGAATGCCAATTTGTAGTAGTTGTCAG